CTCATTATAATGGTAATACCACACATAAAAAAAATCTTATTGCTTTCTCTAGCGTTTAAATTTTAGGGGATCAACCATATCTCAAACTTTCTTGGCTGGATAAAACGAAAACGTCAGTCAATACTGACTGTTGGAACTATTTAATTGAATGTGATGGAGTATATGCGTCTGAGCCCCCAGACCCACATACTCAGAGGAACAGAAAGCACAAGACACTGAGTGGAGCCCTCGTCGATCAAGGGACCCTCGTCGGCCGAAAAGATGTCAACTCAGATTATGGTCCTGAGCTCAAGGAACCCGGGTGCCCTCTTTGATCCCTATTAAAGTTTCCAGTTTAACTTCACACAGATTAAGTAAATAAATTTGACTTGACTGTGGAGTACACTGTTTGACACTGTTTGGCACTGTTTTGCACTATTTTGTTTCCTACAATGGAAGTGTGAACTTAAATAAGAGACATCTCAAAAAGGAAAGTGGGAACTTTAATACGGACCGGAGGGAGTATTATACTTCCTCCGTCCCTCAAAAGTTTGTCAAGTTTGACCGGCATGTAAAATAATAAAGCAAAAATTGTGTGATAGATATTTGTGCAGATGAGAGAGAAATAACAGGAACCACAAATTGATTGATTAAAAAGAAAAGTAACAAAGTTTTTGAAACAACAAAAAAAGGTTTGAAAAGTTAGAAAGGACGAGTGATTTGATGTGGTGATCGAGTGATTTGATGATACGAAAGTTCTTTGACAATAGCATGATGATTTATTCTGACAGTTTACATTCTGATGTAGAGTTGAGCTTATTTGTATTTTATATTGTGCTCTGTATTATTTATTCAATACTTTGAAGTCCAGCCCGAAAATAAAATAAAATAGGGATTTTTTTAGAAGTAGGCTGAAAAACAAAAATAATATTACTTTAATCACCTTTAATTTTTGTTTTCAAAAATAGACAAGAAAAATTTTTGTTTTCAAAATTAGCCTGGTGCCTTACTGCTTGCTCCGTAGACCGTAACCATATATTACTACGTATAACTTACTAATCCTATATACTAACTACTTCATATCACTTTGGTTGAACCACTAAAAAAAGGCAAATGTTCAAACATAAACAAATCTGTATAATATGGAATTTTTGTGATCTTTGGGGAAAAAAATCGTAAATTTCAAAATCTGAAAATAACTGTAAAAATGTTTACAATAAAACAAAACAAAAAATATGTAACTTTAAAAAAGAGAACTCTGAAAGTTGTAGGTAACTTTTTTATTTCTTACGATACTAAAACATGGAAAAAAACTGTTTTTTTTTTTATTTTATTGAAAATCAAAATTAGAAAAAAATGTAAAAAACTATAAAAATATTGAAACAATGAAAAAATCAGAAATAATAAAATTAAAATAAACATTATGTATAAGGAATGTTTAAAAACTGAAAAGGAAGAAAAAGAACAAAATAAGAAAATAAAAAATGAAAAACTAAATGTACAAAAAAATGAATTACAAAAATACAAATATCCAATTGTGTAAAAAAGAGCATATATTATATAAAAAAAATAAAATAAAAAAATTAAAAATAAAAATAGAAGAATAAAACAAAATAAAATAAAAAACACATAAAAAATAAAACAAAAATAGAAAACAAAAAATGTAAAAAAGTAATAAAAATTTCAGAAAAGGTTATAATTCCAAAAAATCGGGGAGAAAAGCACAAAACTCGAATACCAAATAGAAAAATTTTAAATAGTAAAAAACGTAAAACATTGGAAAATATCACACAGTTTGATTTTTATTATTTTTTTTAATGAGCTACAAAGTTAAATTCTTATTATCATTTTATTGTTAGTTTTTGTTGCATTTTGTTGCTTTGTGTTTCTTTATGTTTATTTTTGTTGCAGATTTTGCATATTTGTTTTTTATTGTTTCATCAAGTTTTATTGTTGATATTCACTGATCGAAATTTATCAATTTAATTATTTATATGTCAAAACATGATTTTTTTATTTCAAGAAGGAGCAAAGATAAGTAGAACCTAAATAAACAACTAAAATCAAATTCAAGTATAAACATTAACCATATGCAATACAATGCAACAACAGAAAACACAATGAAACAACAAAAACAAAACGCAACAAAAAAAACAAATATAATGCAACAAATTGCATTTTGTTGCTTTGTGTTTCTTTATGTTTATTTTTGTTGAAGATTTTGCATATTTGTTTTTTATTGTTTCATCAAGTTTTATTGTTGATATTCTCAGATCGAAATTTATCAATTTAATTATTTATATATCAATACATGAATTTTTTATTTAAAAAAGGAGCAAAGATAAGTAGGAACCTAAATAAACAACTAAAATCAAATTCAAGTATAAACATTAACCATATCCAATACAATGCAACAACAGGAAATACAATGCAACAACAAAAAACAAAACGCAACAAAAAGAAACAAATATAATGCAACAAAAAAGCAACACAAAGAATCTATAAAATTTATAATCAAATTAACAGATAATAAGCAACATAAAAATATACTCTGTATGATACAACAAAACACAACAACATGCAACAAAAAGCAACACCATGCAACAAAGAGCAACAAAAAATAAAAGTACCACAATGTATACAAAAATCAATCTTAATTTCCACATTCAAGACCAGAATTATAGTTATAATATAACAATATAAAAGTATACAATTAAATTGTTTTTAGCATATATACATGTACATGAGGGCTGGACAATGTTTGCTACCCTTGAGAATGACCAATATGGTAAAACGAGAATCAATATTACAAAGAAATTCATCAACTTCGCATTCAGTATATTTTATTGTGCACAGTGGTCAAAATATATGCATTTAGAAGAGTAGAATCATGTCTCTCACAGCTTCCCCGTCTCAGGATTTCTAAGTATAGTAGAACAATGATGCCTGGTTTCACTTTGTGCTTCTTCACAAATTCAAATTTGGGAGCGATTTCATTAACTTTGTAATATAATGGAATCACCTTGAAGAGTTTTCAAGTCTAACTGCACTCGTCTTGAGAACTTAATGTTTCAATAAAACATATGTCAATAAACATAGAATTCAAACCCAATCCGAGTCACATAAAAGAAAAGAAAACTAACAATCAAATTTAAGTGTATATACGGGAGAATAGAGAAGCATGTGACCTTTACAAATTAGTCATTCTGAAGTGCCATTAATCCATTAAGAAAAACAGAGAATATTGTATTTTACTTGAGCTAAGTATCCTTGATTTCTCACTTTCATTTTCAAGAGAGTTGCAAGAAGAAAATTTAAGTAAGCAAAGTATAATACAGATAAATATTACACGTATCTACACACACATAAATATCCAACCAACTTATCAATCAAGCATCAACATCCCCACATATATAAGTGTTATTTACCTCTATATCAGAATACAAAGCCTCAACACAAAACAAATTAAAAGTTTATCAAAACCAACCACGACAAAAAATTGCCTATTACAAATATAAACTAAACAAAGAGCTCCCAAACTATCCAGGTATTTTTGTTCTATCCGCAAATAAGGAAATAATGTAATTGAACAAAATCAATATATATTAGAACATTCCGTGATTGCACTTGTGATTTTGCTCTACATGGATATCAACCATCCAGAACCATCCCACAATCACAAATATTAGTATTAATGTGTACCTTAGCATGAGAAGACGGATATACATTCGAGATAGCAGCAGTAAAATCTGGATAACCTTGCCTTGGCCAGCAAATTAATACTCTGTAGCAATTCATTGGCATGAAAACATGGTATGTACAGAGTAATCACATGTTCATGCATTAATCAATTAATTTTCTAGAATAGACAAAGATATAAGATATGATTTTTTTAAAAATGATACTCCAGATATGAAATTGTTATTACTATATACACTTTGACCAAACAGTGATATACATAAACTCTATAACTCACAGACTCATACCATTATCAATCTATCAATTAATGGAAGCATCTTAGAATGTCCAGGCTTTAACAAAAACTACAAATTAACTGCAGTAAATTTGCAAACACATACTATCTTAAACGAACATTTAAAATTTAAAAAAACTACATAGCAGAAAGCTAGAAATTGGTGACTTGATATTACTCTGTCTATATATACACATAGATGTAAAACACATGATACAAGGATTTGACCTAATCAGTCTGTGAAATTGTCTCATTTTTATTTGTGAATGAATTCGAAGGGAAGCGACTAAAAATTAACAAAGATGAAGGGATGTGGTGGCGATGAGCAGTGGCGACGAACAATCCATGTACCTCCTAAAAATTGACGATGATTATTTGAAGCTTATTGAAGATGAACCTCAAAAACATCTCATTCATACCAGCGAGCGACATCGGCGTCAAAATCCACCAAGGAGACAGAATTCGGAGAGCACCGAGTCGAATTAAGCTCCCGAGAAGCGATCGTGTCGTTGTGTTTGTGAAGGCTTGTCGGAGAGATTAAACCGGAGGAGGAATTGGTGAGACGACTGTTTAACATCCAACGTATAAGTTTGATTTGTCTCAAGAAATTTTAAGCTATGAAGATTAGAGAGAAGAATGGTTCAGAGGTTTAGATGTAGCGTAAAGGTTTAGTTTAGTGATAAGACTATTTTTGAAAAAAATATCTCAAAAGTGATAAACTGAAAATTTAAATATTAAAAGAAAAAAAATGGGGACATAAATGAAATGCAACGGGGAATAGGGGCTTAAACGGGGAATTACCGCAATAAAATACGGGTAGTTAATAGGCCCAATTTTAAGAAAAAAGTCCGTCCAAAATCCCCAGATCATCATTCCAACTTCTGCAGGAACGCAGGCCGCTTCGGATCTACCCCATTCTTGCGCACACGCTCATAGAGACGCAGAGTCATAGCTAGGGACGACGGTACGGCTGCACTGTTTCGACCCACCCACCTGCCACCGTTGTCAACTGCTACCGCCGACTGCGCCCTGACCGGTTGCGCCTGCTTCCTTTTGCCGCACTACTCAGCCAGGTAAAACGCCACAAGATCTCTCAAGAGTGTTCTTCTTCTTGCTGACTTGTCTACTTACCAGAGGTGCCGACTTGCCGTATTTACGGTCAAGCCCCTTCTTTACGCTCAAAATTGTTTCCAGAATGGCTGGAGTGCTAATATATCTGAAGTGCTAGAGTTCTAATTTATCTGTGTGCAGAATTTTTTTAAAACATAGAAATTGCAGAAAGAGAGTTTGACAAATTTAAGGGGAATGGGGTGGCTGTTTTTTGACCTAAAACAATTGAAGTTGTAGTTGTTCTCTTATACGTAGTACAGTATATTATAATGAATTAATATAACATTGTGTCCACTGAGGGGTTCTTATATACCACCTCCCTCCTCTAAGACTGAACAAGTCTTAAAGTAAGAATGAATTGGAGTTATTAAGAAAATTGAAGTAATACCACCTCCAAGGCGTGGACTGCAATTGCAGTTATTAAGTAAAATTATTTGAATTAGTGAAGTGTGAACAGAGTGAGATTGAACTAGAACTGTACAAATATTAGTAAATATAGTACAAGACAAATTTAGTAGGATAGACGGATAGGTAAAGGAGACAAAGATAGTGGTACATAAGGATCGGAGTACATATTATGATAGTTTGACAATTTTTTGCCCCCCACTGAATGGGAATGCCAGATCCGCATCCGCCCCTGCTCCAGATATTAAGTAAGATTCCAAGACCATCATCCATCGTGTACCCTCCTCTCTAAGCCCTGACTCTATTTTTTCTTCTTTGAAAAGATTACTCATATATTCATTCAATGTTATTTTGAACTCTCGTCTCCTGCAACCGTATTTTATGCTATACTGAATTACCGATCTCTACAGAGCTTCTGTTGTTAATATTTTCTATCTTGAAGAAGGAGATTATGTGGGGTTGAAGAAGAATGCTAGAAGCCATAAAAATTGAAATATGGCAGCTGTTTTGGCTTATTAGTCACTTTATTAAGAACTCCATTTAAGTGAACTTGGAATCATGGTGGTTTACTAGATTTGTGCTATGATTCTAAGTTTCGTTCTAATTTTCTGACTGTGTTAATACTTAACATCACTATAGTCTTTTCTTACTTTATTGCTTACATCTAGTATGTTATATAAATATAATTGCTGTATATGTAATTTATTTTACATAATCTGCTAAGCGCTATGCTTCTGCCATTTATCGCCGTGGCATCCACTGTATTTATATATTTATATACTACCTCCGCCCCCCTAAGTTTGGGACAAAGGGGTGTGGTGTGGTTTTTAAGAAAAAGTAGAATTGTGTGGTTGGTATTGAATTGATAAAGTGTGAATAAAGTAAGAATGAATTCTAACCACTCAAATATTACCAAATATAGCATGGGGCAAACTTAATGGGACGGACGAAAAAGGTAAAACGGGACAAAGTTAGGGGGACGGAGGGAGTAGCAGGGTTTAGTCTATCTGACACAATCACCTATCCCATAAATCATATACCGGTTTTTGTCATTAGTGAAAATCCATAAACTGAAAAACCATATACTGGTTTTTGTCATTACCAAAAAATCCATAAATTGAAAAACCGTATACCAGTTTTTGTTGTTACCAAAATCAAGAAACCAAGATGAATGAAAAGCATCATTTAGCTTTTACTTATAAGTTTATCCAACATATCCAAGATCCAAGTAAGAAATTAAATAAAAAAATCAGAATAACCCAGATAGTCAACCCCTAACGTTCGAAATAAGAAATAGTAGAGGGTTGGGCAGATTTCATATTTGATGGAGATAACATAGACAGCAGTGAAGAGATGACATACAGTGATAAGTGGTATAGTTGTGTGTGGTCTGTAAATCGACAGGGATGGCAGACCACAATGGAGGCATGGGGTCTGTAAGTATAAACAGGGAGAAGAAATCAATTTTTGAAAGAATCAATAGTGATCAGTGAACACTCCTCAGTGTTGTTCCTTGCGGGCGATTGAATCAGTAGGATTCGGTATTCTTACAATTAAATGGGGTATGAGATTTCAGTCTATATGTGGGCTTTTAAACATATGGTGTTGGGTTAAATTTTTATGCACATACCAAAACAATTATATGGAAAGTATTTGCATATTTGATTTTCAGGTCACCGACCGAAACGAGAATTGAGAAACAGTTATTAACCAAATAGCTACTTCTTTAAATTAAATAAATGAGAACCAACTACTGACCAAACTGATTTTTTTGACCGGTTCAAGTATTAGTTTTTGGTTTTATCGGTTATATGTTCACCTCATGCTATAAACATTGAAACATCAATTTCAGAACTTTCTCTGATTCCAGATTACAAGTTTACAACCATTTTAATTCGGTTCTAAATCTGACTTGCTGGTGTTCTAGTAAACCCCAGTTAATCGTAAACTTCTTGTTGCTTGTAACTTGTAAGAAGGTTTATGGTTGGGTTCTGACAATTGCTTGGTTTACCCAGTTAGTCGACATGACGACAGCAGCTAGACCTACATGGGCACCCGCTAAGGGTGGCAGTGAGCAAGGTGGGACTCGGATTTTCGGCCCATCTCAGAAATACTCTTCTAGAGACATGGCGTCTCATACAACCTTGAAGCCAAGGTTTTTACTTGAACTCAATATATTTTCAGTGTTTTTTTATTGTTTTTAGTTGCAGTGGTGAGAGAGGTTTGCGGGTGTAACTGTCTGTCTATTCAGCTGTAATAGTTGAGTATGCGGTACTGTTTTCTAACAGAGTTCTACAATTTGATGTACTCCTAGTCTGGATACCGTGATAAAATGGTAGAAAATTGATTTGAAATCTTGGCCTTTTGAAATAGTGATTCTCCTAGTGTTAAAATCACGGATTTTCGTTTTGCTTGCCAATGTTGGGACTATGTGGTTCAGGCTTCACCATGCATAAATTTAGCTGTTAATTTCATGATTTGATTGGATATGTTGTGCAGAAAGGAAGGACAAGAAACTCAGGATGAATTGCAGAAGAGAAACCTTCGAGAGGAACTTGAACAGCGGGAATCAAGGCACTTCTCTTCAAAGGACAAAGGATACAATGGTATGTAGAGCGTATGTTCTCCTTCTCATCACATTCCACCCCTCCCCACCAGCTCACCACAGGGAGCACACATTTATAATCAAGGGCAGATAATGTAGTTGACCTGTTAACCTCTTGATTTTTATGGTTGCAGAGGACAGGGATCGCCGAAAGAGTAATCATCTTCTTTTAGAAGGCAAGTGATATTTGTTTGTCGTATGCGTTTGTTTTATAATTGAAAACTTTGAATTTCCTTTCATCAAATGGTGATGTCATGACTCATGAAAACAGGTTCTAAAAGAGAAAGTGAAGATCGAATTGTTCCACGTAGTGCGGATGCTGATGATGCAGATGTTGTTGCCAAAAGTGATGATGAAAGGCAAGTATTATGTTATCATTATTTTTTTCCCTGACATGCTGTCCTGAACACCGAGTGATTTGGATTGGTTAACTTCATTCTGGCGGCACAAAGATCATTTCTCTCCTGTCTGCTTTTGTTTTCCACTGCTCATGCACAACCAATTGATTTTTTTTAAATGTTTTTTCCTATATTCAGCTCTAAATGATATCTGATACTCTAAAAGTGTTCAACAACCAAGCTATATATGATTTTAAATCTTTCGTCATCTGTCTTTAAATAAAAAAGTGCTGGGATAGCAGTGCACGCGTGTGTTTACTGATGATCCTTCACATTCTTTTGTGCTTTCAATGTGGTCGTAAAATATCTACTGTGGTCTGTGGACACTGTATAGTGAGGACGATGATGATGAGGACGAGGATGACATGGAAGCTCTCTTGGCTGAGCTTGGTCAGATAAAAAAAGAAAGAGCAGATGAAAAAATGAGAAAAGTAAGTTTTTTAATCTGTGTATCTTTTACAGGTTTTACTGTTCGGTTTTATTTGTTATTTTCTTGTCAAGGCACTGTTACCGAGAATTTAGATCAGCCATAGTGTAAACGATGGTGAGGAATTGCTAGGCAATTCGTTAATCGTTATTAGTGCCTAGCCAATGAGACTGTTTCGCCAGTTAGCCTGCCTAATTAATTGCCCACCTCAGAAGTGTTATTTATAACAAAGTGGAGGACTACCAACTAATGGTTAGGCTGTGTCCTAGGTTGTTTTTTACTGAACTCAATGTAAGGTGCAAGTGAGAAGAATGAAGAGAATAGAAGATATAAAGTGTGTCCTTTAGTCCAGTCTATCTGTGTACATAGCCACGTAGCTGACACAACTTCATAATGACGCCTCACTACAAGTTGAACCGTTTTCTTTATTTTTGAAATTGGTTAATTAAGTAATTGAAGTTTAAAGACCTCATATTTTTTTGTGTAGTTGTAATGAAGTGTGCTGCTTGCAGGAACGGCAACAACTAGAAGAAGATCTCAAAGCAAAGGAAGCAGAACTCTTGAGAGGAAATCCTCTCATAAACCAGCCAACATCCTTTAATGTGAAGAGAAGGTCAGTTCTCTTGCTCTTAGATTATTTTGGGTTGGATTTTAATTAATTAATTTATTAAATTATATGTTATTTTACTTAGGTGGGACGATGATGTGGTCTTCAAGAACCAGGCTAGGGGAGAAGCAAAAGCTCCGAAGCGCTTTATCAATGATACCATTCGGAATGACTTCCATCGTAAGTTTCTGCATAAATATATGAAATAATATCACAGATGCCATGGTTGTACCACCTTTGTCTAAATGAAGGTGATTAATTCACAATTTTAGCCCTGTCGAGGACATACCATTCGTCATGTTATCATTATTACTGTTATTATTATTATTATTAATATTACTATTGTTGTTGTTATTGTTATTATTGTTGTATTGTTGACTTGTTGTTGCTGCTGCTGTTGCATTGTGCCTTGCTATCCAACTGTTAAAAGTTCAATGATTCTTAGATATCTAATAAGTAACTTAATTATGTTGATTATCTAATCATGAACAGATGGGGTATTATTCACGCAAGTTTTCCTCATTTGATGCATGTTTTTAGCACATAATACAATTTTTTATACGATTATGGGTGGATGTAGTTCTGGTACACATTGGACCATGCACATCTCTAGGAAGAGGCAAATCTGGAAGTTTGTGTTCAGCTGGACCAAGTATTGATTGGACTAAGTTTAGGAAACTAGTGAGGTGGTGTAAATAAGGAAAAGAATTACTTTAAATAAATATTTACGCACTTTGTCTATTTAAATAAATATTTACGCACTTTGTCTTAAATTCAGCCCACGATTGATAACTCTGTTGTATATCAGTCGTAGTGCTGTTGTTGGAACACATTCCATCTGTTTAAGAAGAGTCATTGAAAGCGTCTAATAATTTCCAATGGAGCCAAATACTCGTTTTTTACTTGGGAAAATGATGAAATAAAGTAAAATGGCTCACTTTCATGAAGTAACACTCAGTCCATGCAGTTTCCGACGCGATTTTCATCATAGGTCATCCTGATATGTGCTTTAGTACAACTACAGGAGTAAGAATGTACATCCAACCCTCCCTTGCTCCACCGTAGGTGAGAACATTTGAGGTACTGGAGTAATGGTGTTGATGTTGAAGGTGTCTAATAGGGTTTGACTCGGGCTTGTTTTTGTGCGATTCTGGGTACATCGGTTTCTCATTCCAAAATTGTTTTATTTTTTTAAATTAAGATAATAAAAGAATAGAACTGGAACAATTGAATATGGTCTTGTCTCTAAAGAACAAAATGGTTGTACTGGTTATGGATGCTGGTTATAGCTTGGAAAAAGAATCAGTTCAAGTGTTCAACTAGCCCGGTAACCTGGTTCTTTACTTGTTCTAATTTGATTTGGTTCTGGAGCTAGTGTTAGTTACTCTAGTTTGCTTCATATAGTTTCCTAACTTTCCTTCAAGTTTTACATAGCCATTTAGAATAGTAATCAAGTCTTTACTACTATTTCCGTCCCTGAATTAACTTCCAAATAGAGTTTTGCACGTGGATTAAGAAAGTGAGAGTTGTGTGGTGGAGAGAAATATGTAAGAAATGTTATGAACCACAAATTCTTTGACAAAAGGAGTGAGAAGATTACTTTGGGACGAACATAAAAGAAAAGTTGATTCATGGATGGAGGGAGTAATTGATTATAGGGAACGGCTAGTGGTAATATCCTGGTTGGGGTAATCCATTTGGGTAAATGTGACTGCCTGAGATGAAGCAAGCATGTATGGGTGGACTGTTGGTGTCATTCTCAAATCTCAATTGGTACCCGCATTTTCAAACAATCTTAGCCTCTTAGTCGGTAGGGAGTTGAGGACTAGGATAGAAGCTGGCAGGCCCGGTTATACGTATGAATCAGAATAGTACCCTCTCCTCCCTGAAAATTCTTCCCGCGTTAGTTTGGATCGGGGTTTAATAAAGTGAGAGTAAAGTGAATGTATTATTGTGATTGCGTAAGAAAAAGATATTGAAGATTATAGTCACACAATACTTTCCAAAAATGGAAATGAGAAGATTTTTGGGACAATATCATTTAGAGGTGTGGGCTAGGAACCAAGGCCTTTTCTACTCGTGAGTCCTGGCCCTTGATTCACTCTGTTGTACGGCACCTTCAAATTTCAATAGAAGCTGAAAACCATTGTACATGAATGACACGTACTTTAGCCACCTCGCGAACATTGTACAACGTGTATATTGAAAATAAGTCTCCGCCTTCTAGTTTTTGTACTATTTAAAAAGTCTTTAAAAGCTTCTAGTTGTATGTTTGGCATGTCAATTTTTAAGAGCTTTTATAAAAATAAAAGATCTTTTTTGAGATGCTACAATTAGGGGTGGACTCGGGTCCAGGTCGGCCCTAGGCCCGGGCGGGCCGGCGGTTCAGGAGTGATGGACCCGGGACCGGCCCGGGTCCGGGCCGGGCCAATTATCAATTTTTCCCCCTCTTCCTAATTAACCCCCCTCCCACCCCCAACCCCCAAACCACCCCAAATGGCCCAACCTGAAAATTTAAAAAAAAATTGAAAAAAACACAGTTTTGGCCTGAATCGGGCCTGGGCTCGGCCGGGTCGGGCCTTGTTTTGGGTGACCCGAGCCCGGACCGGAAAACCCACGGGTCGGGCCTACCCGGACCGGTCACTGACTGGACCACTGGGTCGGGCCGGGCCGGGCCGGAATAGTACCGGTCCCGGGCCGGTTCCGGGTCGGGCCACCCGGCCCGAGTCCATATCTAGCTACAATGAGTAGCATCTCAGATAAGTTAGTAGTTTCTGGTATGAATGAGCAAACCCGCTAGGCACATAAGGGTTTGAAACTCAATAGAGTGAGTTTCAGCCCTGATTACTTCAGGTCTCCCAGCCCCCTCCCCCAGATGCCCTCTGGAGAAAAAAAATTAGTCTCAATAGCTTGTATACCAAACAGAGCTAAATCAAACACTCAACTTTTTACCAAATAACTACCACCTTTTCTTTTTAAGATCTTTTGAGTCACTAAAAGTTAACAGATACCAAATAACTTACAAAAGTATCTTTTCATTTAGTTGTGCCAAACATACCCTCAATTATAGTTAAAATATTTATGTAGTATTTTGGGAAAACTGGTAAAATATTCAGGTAAAAAATGATTATTACGATGTTTTCTTTTGGACTAAAATTTGCTGATCTGATCTGGTTTGGTCTGGTAAATGTCTGATCTCTATATATTTTATAACTATGGAAGTTTGGTCTGATCTGGTCTGACTTGGGTTGGCCTGGTCTGGGATTGAAAACAATGAAAAGAAAACATCCTTAAATCCTTAATACTTCCTAAGTCATAATCCATAGACGGTCTTTCTTAATGTTCTAATAGGGTTATTGAAGTCTCCACTTCTTTTACCATTGATTGAATTGACTGAATTTGATATTGTTGGGACATGTGTATTCATTTTATAATTTTTATTGTACAAAGTGCTTGAAATTGAGAGCTTGTTTGGTAATTGATTGAGTTAGATGAAAATTGTGAAATGCTGATTAAATTCAATGAATTGGCTGAATCTGTTAAATTCTGAAATAGTAATATTTAAAATATACTATTTTATTAATAAATTAAAGAGAAGTTTTATGAGAAATAGTTAAAATAGTTCTATTCAACAAATTCAACTAGAAAAGTAATTTTAATCTTATTCATTCTGGTTATTTCACAATTCAGTATAGAAAACAAAATGAATGACAAGGCGGGTAGAAAAAAATAGAGATTCTAACCTTATTTATAAAATAAATGTAATTTTACTTGATCTTGACATCATTTCTTTACTTCGTATGTTCCCGCTTGTATCGAAGTTATAACTTCGCTTTTGCTAAAGAATATAAAGATAAGAACGCTTGCTGGTATGATGGAGTAGTATTCCATAAAGCAAAAAAGTAACTTTAGTTTCAATTAATGATTCCACAATTGGCCAAGTATGTGGTAGCTTTTTTTCCCACCCCAATATTATCCTTTAGGTTAGGTAAACGTCAAGCAGCAAAACAAAGTTGTTTGGATCGAGTGCCCATTTCTTCCTTTAAACTTTCCACATTTCGCCTTCAAAGTGTTTTTGTTTTGTTTGTTTTGCTTTAAAAAGGTTTAAATAGCGGTTTTAAATAAATGTCCTCAATTGTCATATGGAGTATAAGTTTTAGCTGTTTGAACTTTGAAGCTAAAAGTTGTAAACCTTCACATTTTTTATTACACAATATTGGTGACTAACCATTCTAGTGAAGAATGGTGGGTGGAAGTGTGGAACTAAACACAAATATGATTACCCACAAGGCCAAGTGTAATACTTGATTTTAATTTTTTCAATTTTAGTCATTGACTATTGTGCTAGATACAGATTCAGTCCTCGACTTCAAAGTTCTCCACATTTAGTCCCCAGAGTATTATCAAATTGACACTTTTAGTCCTTCCACTTTTATTTTGACACAAAAGATTAAGGACTAAAAATGTCATTATTATAATAATTGAAGGATCAAAAGTGTCACTTTTATGAAAGTCGGAGGACTAACTATGGAAATTTTCAAAGACAGGTACCAAAAGTGTCTCTAGCACAATGGTCAAGGACTAAAAGTGGAAACAATCAAAGTTCAGTACCAAAAGTGTCAAAGACGTAATAATCGAACGACTAAAAGTGACAAAAACTCATTTCAACAAATTCATTTGATTTACAATTTGTTGTTCTACACACACTAAGATCATAGTGTTTCGGTGTTTCCATAGATTTATGTTGGATCGATTTGTGAATTTTATTCAACGTATGTACACAGATGAAATACAAAGTTCCCTAACAATTACGAGCTACCCTAGGAAACTGTTGGTAGAAAAAGTCCCGGGTAGAGAAACTAGCAGCATTTCAGTATAGTAAAATATCGTCGAAAATACATGGAGAGTTGATGGCCTATTTATAGGCATCCATCATAAGTCCAAAATCTAATCTACGTGGGCTTGACCCAGATTAATAATACATCTCCAAGCTAATGGGTGAATCGGCCCGATAAATAAGTAATGAGCAAGGGGTGACTCCTGCTCGTGAGACTGCGTCATGGGCCTAGTTGGGTCTAAGCTCGGGGATAATGGGCCGATGGCACTGGGCCCGGCCCATCATCCCAACACGAGTCCCCCACTCCCTTAGTCGAGTAGTAGACTCGGCTAAAAGGGAGTAGTTGAGCTGCTTTGAAATCGGTCCGGTTGCCAGGCTAGGTAGCTAGTTACATAGATGTTCCTTGATGGTGACGATTTGTGGTGTGCCTGGAAAGGTCAGTCATGTAACTGTCCACTATGGTCCCATTGTTTGCGCAAGGATGAGACCCTCCTTGTTTGGGTAGCAGCCCGGGGTTCTGCAGGTTTCCTGATCAGCAGTCTGGGATCTTCTTTGTTCCTTCCGGGAAGACTTCTTCCTTTGTTTATGATGAGGGGATGCCTTGTTAAAACCTTACTAGGAAAAAACCCGATGGGAAAAAATCCTAGT